TTGGGTCTGACCAACATGCCCATGGGTTGGCTCCATTTGGAGTTACAGTAGACTAAGGAAGGAAGAAAGGAAGGAAGGATTTATTAAGCATCTATCACATGCCAAGCACTGTGCTAGGCATTTTAGAAATATTATCCATTTAATCTTCACAACAACCCTGAGAGGTAGGTGCTATTATCTCAGTTGAGGAAACTGAGGCAAAAAGAGGTCAAGTGACTTGCCCAGGGTCATATAACTAAAAATGTCTGAGGCTGGACTTGAACTCAGGTCTTCCTGATTCCAGGCCTGGTGCTCTGTCCAATGCACCACCTAACTACTTCAGAATGGGCTAAAAGCTAGAAATGAGAACTCCCTCTGCTCCTGGGAGTTCAAACCCCTAAGGTTTTCTCCTCAACTTACTCTTTGCTCAATACATAGCCTAGGGCCCTCACTGCTTCTTACCCTGGAACATCACATCATCCTTAAGCCCAGGTCCCATTCTCAGTCTGCACTGGATCTGTGACCTGGAACTGGAGTGAGTGGCAAAGCTACCAGTTTGCATCTGTTCTTACTCCCCACACAAGATTAGGCTCCTTTGGGGGGCAGCTAAGTGGTGCAGTGGATAGAGCACCGGCCCTGGATTCAGGAGGACCTGAGTTCAAATCCAGCCTCAGACACTTGACACTTACTAGCTGCGTGACCTTGGGCAAGTCACTTAACCCCATTGCCTAGCCAAAAAAAAAAGATTAGGCCCCTTTGTACTTGATTTGGGATCTCTTCTTGCCCTGGGTGCACACATAGTCTTTCCCTAGGCTAGAATGCTTTTCATGGCCATTTCTGTCTAGGATCTCTCCTCCTTGTTCACAGACTTCTCTTCTTGCCAACTTGACTGGAAAAACATGAGTCACTGGGTTTTTCCTCGGATTTCTTGATTAGGATGTGGTCTAATACATTTTCTACGTCCATTTAGAGGAGTCATAGAGTAGAGATGGCCTTTAATTCTTCCTGTTTCTCCATTATCTTGGTTCCCTGTAACTAATAATAGTAACAGAATGATTAATATCATAGCTGACTTTTCTATAGCACTCCAGAGTTTCCTATTTGAAGACTGAGAACAACTTTATGAGATGTATTATGATTTTTCCCATTTTACAGATGAGGAAACTGAGGCTCCGAAAGGTTAAGTGACTTGCCAAGTAACACAGCTAAATGTCCAGTTGAGATTGGAATCTAGTTCTTCTTGAATCCAAGACAAATAATGAGGTTAGGGTCCCATGTCTCACCGTTGATCATATCACCTGTAAGGCTTAAGAAGCAACATGATCTAGTAGACAGAATAGTAGACTTAAGAGTCAGGAAATCTGCAGATCAAATCTCATCTCTGCCACTTTATCTAAGCCTTACTTTCCTCATCTGTAAAATGGGCAGGGGGGGGGGGAGAAATACCTATACGTGACCAAACTTACAGAGTTATCGTTAGGTTCAAATGTATGTAAAATGTAAAAGATGGCAATAATCAATTTTGGAGGAGTTGTAAGAAGATAGGTACACTAATGCATTGTTGGTGAAGCTGTGAATTGATCTATTCTGGAAAGAAATTTTAAATTATTATAAGAAAGTGACTGAAATGTCCATATAATTTGGCCCACAGATTCCACCACTAGGCCCATCCCCAAACAGAAGTCAATGACAAAAAAAGAAATTTATATCATGTCATACTTTTTTGGTTATGTTGTATGATTTTGCTGAATTTATTTTTTTTCCTCCTTGATTTTATTATGAATTATGACTCCCTGGGAAAAGGGAAGAAGGAAGGACACATAAAAAAATAGAAATGAAGAATGTATTTTTTTATAATTAATTTATTTACTTTTAGTTTTCAACATTCACTTCCATAAGATTTTGAGTTTTAAATTTTTCCCCCTTCTCTTTCCCTCTCCCCAAGATGGCATGCAATCTGACATAGACTCTACTTATACATTCAAATTAGGCATATTTTCACATTAGTCATGATGTAAAGAAGAATTATAACTATTAGGAGGAACCACGAGAAAGAAGAAACAAAACAAAAAAAAAAAGAAAAGGAGAGCAAATAGCATGCTACCATCTGCATTCAGACTCCATAGTTCTTTCTCTGGATGTGGACAGCGGTTTCTATCATGAGTCTTTTGAAGTTGTCTTAGATCCTTGCATTACTGAGAAGGGCTAAGTCTATCAAAGTCAGTCATCGCACAGTGTGGCTGTTACTGTGTGTGTTACTGTTAACATTCTCCTGGTTCTGCTCATTTCACTCAGCATGAGTTCATTTAAATCTTTCTGGGTTTTTCTGAAGTCTGCCTGCTCACCGTTTCTTACAGCACAATAGTATTCCATTACATTCATGTACTACAACTTGTTCAGCCATTCCCCAATCGATGGGCATCCCCTCAATTTCCAGTTCTTTGCCACCACAGAAAGAGCTGCTATAAATCTTTTTGTGGGTCCTTGAAAAATGTATTTTTAAAAGTGGTTTGTAAACCTTAAAGAGTTACGGAAATCCCAGTTGTTATCCAAAGAACATTTATTAACCACATTGTGGTAATGTGGTCAGTGTAATACTGCAAATCATACTGTCATTAATGCATAGTACTACTACTATGTGGAAATTAAAAGATAAATATAAAAGCCCGCGATCTCATCATGGACAATAATAGCAACTGACATTTAAGGTTCACAAAGCACTTTAGGTACATTATTTCATATAATCCTCATAACATCCCTGTGAAGTAGGTTCTACTGTTATACCCATTTTACGGATAAGGAAACTGGGGCTTAGAGAGATTAAGTGACTTGTGCAGGACCACACAGCTAGTGAGTATAGAGGAAGGATTTGAACCTAGATTTTCCTGAGTTCTGGACCAGTGCTCCACCCATTGTACATGACTGCCTCTTCTGATCTTATTGGAGCATCACAACAACCTTATGAGTAGGGGCTACAGATATTATTATTGTTATTATCCCCATTTTACCACTGGGAAAACTGAGGCTCAAGGAAATTAAATGACTTGTCCATGGTCATGCAGCTAGTAAGTGTCAGAAGTGAGATTTGAACCCAAGGTCTTTCTGAGCCCAAGTTTAGAGCTGTCCACTAGGCAAGTGCTATTCTTCTATCATAGGAAAATAGATTTAGAGCTGAAAGGTATGGTAGAGGACATCAAACCCAAACCCCAACTTTTTACAGATGAAAAAGAGTCCCCAAGAGGTGAATGACTTGCCCAGGGTCACACGGCTTGTAAGTATCTGAAGCAGGATTTGATCCCAGATCTTTCTTAGTCCAGGTCCAGTGTTCCATCTACCAGGCAGCTGCTCCCTCTACACTGAATTTTGGGTCCTAGGGTTAAAGCTGGCAGGACTTTAAAGACATCTGGTCCAACCCTCTCTACACCCCCACCTCACTAAGGCCCTGAGCAATGATGAGAACTGCCTGGGACCACCCTGGTAGTAAGCAGAAGGGTCTGAGAAGATGCAGAGCTCGGTAAAAAGACATTAGATTGTAAGCACCTGGCTTCTGACATTTGCCAGCTGTGTGGTAAAGGGAAGGCTTTTAACCCCTAAAAGCCTCAGTTTCCTTATCTGTTAAGTGGAGATAATATCTACATAACTCACTGGGATGCTTTAAAGAAATTGTAAACTTAAAGATTTGAGAGAAATATGAATTATCCATCTTCCCTGGCCCCTTTAGGCTGCTGAGGGAAGGAATATAACATTTTAGCCACTAATATCAAGCTTACTGTAGGATTCGTCTCTCCCTTTTTTCCTTCTCTCTCTCTCTGTCTCTCTGTTTCTCTCTCTGTCTCTCTCTCTCCCCTCTGTGTCTCTCTGTCTTCCTCTCTATTTCCCACTCCTTCTCTCTCTCTCTCCCTCCCCCTTTCTTTTTCCTTTCCCTCCCCATTCCCCTCTTATCTTTCCCCTCCTTGTTCACCAAAGGGGTCCAGGCATACAGTGTAATGAAAAGAACATTGGCTTTAAGGTGAGAGGACCTAGGTTTCAATCCTGTCTCTTGTGCTCGCTCCAGGAATGCTATTGACCAGTCACTTAGTGTCCCTGAGCCTCAGTTCGGTCACCTACAAAATTGGGGGGCGGGGGTTTAGATGGCTTCTGACATCCCTCAAAGCTATAAATCTACAATCCCAGAATCCTGCCAGCCTCAGCTGAAGTGCCACAGATGGTATAAAAGAGACAGACTGATGAGCATGGAGTCAGAAAGGCACAAGTTCAAGGCCTGACACAAACACTGGCTGTGTGACCCTAGGGAAGTCACTTCACCTTTGTGTGCCTTGGTTTCTTTATCTGTAAAATGGGGTGCTTACCTCACAGTTTTATTTTGAGTATCAGTGTGATCATGTATTTAAAATGCTTTGTAAACTTTAAAGTACTAAATCAATGTTACTTAACGTTTGATCCTACACAACCTCCCTTGGTAACTGCCATTATTATCCTATTTTACTAATGAGGAAAATGAGGCTGATGGAGGTTAGGTGACTTGCCTAGGGCCACACAGCTAGAGAATGTCTGAGGCTGGATTTGAACAGACATTCCTGATTCCACATCCTAGCAGTCTATCCACTACAACACCTAGTTATAATGATATTTGTTGTAGTTGATGTTGGTGCGCAGCTAGATGGTGCACTGGGCTTGGGGTCAGGAAGACCTGAGTTCCAATTTGCCCTCAGACAATTTACTGACTGTATGACTCTGGGCAAGTCACTTGCCCTCTGTTTGCTTCAGTTTTCCCAATTATAAAATGAGGCTAGATAACAGTAACTACCTCCCAGAGTTGTTGTGAGAATCAAATGAGATAACATTTGTTTTTGAGGGGAAAAAAAAGAGAAGAGGAAGTTTAGCACAGTGGCTGGCACATAGTAGGTGCTTTATAAATGCTTCTTCTCTCCCTCCTCATTACCATTGTCATCCTTTCCCCTTGAAGCACAGCTATGGGATGGAGCTCTCACAGGCTTCTTTCTCGTTCTGGCCTCTACCAGGTGACAATGCTGAGCGTGGAGATGACGGCCCTCAAGGAAGAGAGAGACCGCCTTCGAGTGACATCCGAGGAGAAAGAAGCCAAGGAGCAGCTTCTCAAAGCCATTAGGGACCGAGATGAGGCCATTGCAAAGTAAGATACTGCTCCAGTCCTTTACTTCAGCAATGTGAATAGTATGGAATATAAGTTTTATTTTGATTTTCACCGATTGCATTCCAAAGCGAATGCATTCCTAGGCTGTGGTAAGAGAGGTATAGCATCTGGGATCAGGGAGCTGAGCGTTCTGCTCTCCTCCACCCTAGTCACTCCACAGCAGAAATATTGTGTTCAGTTCTAAGTAACACGTTTAAGAAAGGAGAATGATAAGCTGGAGAGACCATAGAGTTAGAGCCAAGGTGATCTTCCTAAAATACAAATCTGACCATGTCACACCACACACACACACACACACACACACACACACACACACACACACACACTAAACTCCACTGGCTCCAGGAACAAATATAAAATCTTCTGTTGGTCATTCCAAGTCCATAACCTAGCACCACTCCACCCCCACCTTTCCAGTCTTCTTACACTATACACCCCTCCAAGAAATCTCCTGTCCAGTAACATTGGTTTCCTTGCTGTTCCACAAATAAGAAAGTCCACCTCCCAATTCCAGGCATTTTTCTGGTTGTCACCCATGCCTGAAATACTCTCCTTCTTCATCTCCACTCCAATCAATAAACATTCATCAAGCACCTACTATGTGTCAGGCACTGTGCAAAGCCCAGAGGGTATAAGTCCCAGCTAAAATCCCACCTTCTAGAGGAAGTCTTTTCTGATTCCTTCAAATTCTAATGCCTTCCATCTGGTGATTACTTCCACTCTCTCCTGTACATGGTCATTTAGATGTTGCCTTCCCCATTAGACTGAGAGCTCTTTGAGGGCAGGTGCAGTCTTTTGCCTTTCTTTATAATGAGGAAGAGAATTCAGAAGTCATCTAGTCCAATCCTTCTCATTTTTACAAAAGAAGAAACTGAGTCGCAGACTTCAAGCCAAGTTGAGTCAAGAGACATTTAAAGACCCCCTGTGTACCAGGCATTGTGCTAAGTGCTGGGGTTACAAAGAAAGTAAAAAAGAAAATTCCCTGTTTGCCTATTATCCCACAAGTAGCCAATGACATTGGACTAGACGTGTAACCCAGTACCATAGGTTAGGATCGTAGATTTAACATGGATTTTGAAGGCCATCCAGCTCCATTTTACAGATGTTAAAAATAAGACAGAGAGAGTTTGTGATCTCCCTGTGGTCTCACAGCTATTGAACAGCATCGGACTATAAATAACAAATCTGTCATCAGACCCGTACACACAGAATCAGAGATTTAGAGCTGAAAAAGACCTTTGAGGTTATCTAGGCCAACCCCTCACTTGACAGATAAGGAATGAAGGCACAGAGTGGTTCAGTGACTCACACAGGGTTACACCATCAGTAAGCGTCAGAGGTGAATCTGAACCCAAATCTTCGTGCATCTAAGCCTGGTATTGTAACCACTATGTCTCTACTCAAAGCTTTTCCGTCTCAGTAGGACCTGACAGCATAGTCTTTGAGAACCCAGGGTCCTCTCCTTGCCCCAAGGAAGCATCAGAATGTGATCTTAATAGATGTCTTTCACAAGCACTATTCTTAAAAAGTAGTGATTTTATTTCTCATAAACAAAATTGGAAATTCTTATACACTGCCAGTAAACTGGTGCTTTTAAGGTGTATTTCATGCCCATCACTGATTTTTTTTCCTCCTCTTTCCCAGGTCATAAAGGACATGAATTTCTAACTAGGATCCATAGTTAGACAAAATGCCAGCCAGGTGGTACATTGGATAGAGGGTTGGGCCTGGAGTCAGGAAGAACTGAGTTCAAATCCAGACTCAGATCCTTACTGTGTGACCCAGGGCAAGTTACTTCACCTCTGGCTGCCTCAGTTTCCTCATCTGTAAAATGAGGATAAGAATAGCCCTTATCTCCCAGGCTTGTTGTGAGAATAAAGTGAGATGATATCTGTAAAGCACTTTGCAAGCCTTAAAGTGCTATAAAGATTCTAGTATTATTATTATGACCTCACTGGGTCAAGGGCAACCAACGTGGTGAAGGGCTTAAGTGTATGTCATGTGAGGATGGTGCTAGCCTGGAAGACTGAAGCAAGGGAAGACACATGAGAGCTGTCTGCAAGTATTTCAAGGGCTGTAGTGCAGAAAGGAAAGGGAAAGGGAAAGGTAACTAGCATTTATTAAGCACCTACTATGTGCCAGTCACTGTGTTCAGTAAAAAGAATAGACTAGCTCTCTTTGGCTCCAGAGACAGAACCAGGATCAATGACTGAATAGCACAAATGATGTGAGGAAAGCCTTCCTAAGAATTAGAGCTAGAAAAAAAGAGGAGGGGGATAGCTAGGGGGTGCAGTAGATAGAGCACTGGCCCTGGAATCAGGAGGACCTGAGTTCAAATTCGGCTTCAGACACATAACACTTACTAGCTGTGTGATCCTGGGCAAGTCACTTAACCCCATCGCCTAGTCAAAAAAAAAAAAAAAGAATTAAAGCTGGCCCAGGGTGGGCTGGGTCACCTCAAGTGGTCGTAGACTTCTCTTCATTGGTAGTATTTAGCAAAGTTATTATATATATTATATAAATATTATTATATCTATCAAATATTCCTACCCATCAGGAATGTGGTAGAGTGTATTCTAAAATTAGATGGGTTCAGAGGTCCCCTCACCTTTGAGATTATATCATTCTGTGGCAAGTGCCAGCAGCCAAATGTATGAACAAAACCACAGAGATAGGGACCTGGGATTTTCTTGGTATAAAAAACTCCCAGATAAGCAATCTCTCTCTACCAGTGCAAGTCAGCATCTTCTCTACAACTTACAGCCTTAGAAAATCACTGGAGTAGAAGTATCATAGTCTCGGATTGCATGTGCCCCTCAAAACACTCAAGTGCATCTGAACAAGATTAAAATATAATTGGGAAATGTTTAACAAAATAAGCAAAAACACAACAACATAGATGATGTAAATTTGTGGTTTTCTAGTCTAATATGCAGTTCTATTTGAGTTTGACTCCTAGAAAACTGAGCAGCTAAGGGCCACACAAGTGGTAGGTATGTCTGAGGCAGATCTTGAACCCAGGTCAAGAACATAAAAGAAAAAAATAAGAAAACAAGCATGCTTATAGCTGAAAGCAACTGACAACCCAGAAAACCCAAGATTATAAATGATTGTTCACGTGTCTGTAACTTTAGGAACCATCTATTGCTACTTGTTTGGTTGTTTCAGTTGTGTCTAACTTTTGTGACCCCATTTGGGGTTTTCTTGGCAAAGACACTGGAGTGGTTGGCCATTTCCTTCTCCAGGTCATTTTACAGATGAGGAAACTGAGGCAAACAGGGTTAAGTGACTTGCTCAGGGTCACACATGTAGGAAGTGTCTGAGGTCAGATTTGAACTCAGGAGGATGAGTCTTCCTGACTCCAGGCCTGGCACTCTGTGCTCTATGGCACTACTTAGCTGCCTACCTGTTGTTAACCCCACCCCAAAACCCCACTCACTTCCAGGCTAGTGCCCACATCAGCCTTGTTCTCCTTTTCAGTTTCTCCTTCTCACTCTTTGTTCCTGTGTTAACTGATCTCGTCAACTCTAACTCCTTCGTTGTCGTTAACATTTATATTCTTCTTCTGGTTCTGCTTTCTTCATTCTGAGTTGTTTCATGCAAGAATGTTCATATTTCTTGGAATCCTTCACATCCATCATTCATCTTCTGGCTGAATGACATTATGTATCACATTCACCACATAGCCTAGTTTGTTCAGCTCTTTTCCAAATGAGAGATTCTTTGCTTGTTTCCAGTTTTTTGTTTGTGGGACTTTTTTTATTTCGTTTTGTTTTTGCCACTATAAGTAATACTTCTGAGAATATTTTCTTGTTGTTGTTGAATAATTTTTCAGTCACGTCCACCTCTTCATGACCCCATTTGAGGTTTTCTCGGCAAAGATACTAGAGTGGTTTGCCGTTTCCTTCTCCAGCTCATTTTATAGATGAGGAAACTGAGGCAAACAGGGTGAAGTTACTTGCCCAGGGTCACATAGATATGTATCTGACATGTATGTATCACACAGTATGTATCTGAGGTCAGATTTGAACTCAGGACTTCCTGATTCCAGGTCCAGCACTCTATCCACCGAAAGCACCTGTTTGTTTGTTTTTAATTGATAGGTCCTTTCTTCTTGTCAATAATCTCACACAGGGAATAGCCCCAAGGATGGGACTACAGCCAAAGAATAAACCTATTTTTGTGACTCCAATTATTGAATAATTCCATCTCAAAAAGTGTTTATTGAAAGTCTAGCCCTGTGCTCTGTGATATGGGGAACAAAAGAAAGATAAGATATTGTCCAACTCTCTGAGCATTTGCAATCCCATTGGAGAGACAAGACTAGCAGAGGCCTAGGAGACATGGTGGTGCCCTTGTGAAAAGGGAAATTGGATTCAGAGTCAGGGTGACTCTACTATTTACCGCCGGCATGGCTTTGGGTAAATCCCTTCCCACCTCTGGACCTCAGTTGCCTCATCTGTAAAATGAAGGAGCCAGGCTCAATCTCCAAGGTCCTTTCCATGGCTGAATTATGCTTCTATGCCCATGATCCTTCATCAGCCTGGTGTCCTCCTAGAAATCCTCCACAAAAAACCCTACCCCTAGTGCTGGTAGCTTTCCTCTAAGTTTCTTATTATCATTATCATTAATAACAATATTATTAACATCATTATTAATAACAACATTGTTGAGGATAATAACAGCTAGCATTTATATGCTTTAAGATTTGCAAAGTGCTTTACAAATATTAGTCAGTCAGTAAACATTCATTAAGCACCTACTATGTGCTAGGCTTTGTGCTACCCTCAAGTAGCCTGCTATCTAGTGGGGAGGGTGGAACAATACTCAAAAGGAAGCTGAAAGGGAGGCAAGAAGGAGGGAAGGTAGCCGGGGTGGGAACACCCAGTGAGAAATGAAAAGATGACTGGCCTGGGAGCCCTCTGTAAATGGAGGCTTTATCTCATTTGATCCTCACAACAACCTTGTAAAGTAGGTACTCTTTTTACCCCATTTTACAGATGAGGAACCTGAGGGAGAGAAGTCACGTAGCTAAGCAAATGTCTGAGGCAGGTCTTCGTGATTCCATGTTCAGCGCTCTCTCCACTGTGCCACCCAGATGCACCAGAGCACTGAGGAGGCTGTCAACCTGTCTCCCTGCCCCCCCACCTCCACCCTTTATTTCTTATTCTTCTATACAATCAGTATCCCATCTTAATACATGTTAATGTCTTTTCCCCATTCAGGAAGAGACTAGTATATTAGTTCACGTGCCAGTCTCTTTCTGAGTTCTCTCAATTCAATAACCCAGTAAGCATTTATGAAGCACCTACTGTGTGCTGGGCACTGTGTTGGGCACTGAAGGATACGATGATGACATTGAGACAGTTCCTGCCCTCCAGTTGTTTACACCATTCATTGATAAGTGTCTCTACTTGCCCCAGTCTTCCCGCCTGGTTGCTAGAGCCATACCGCCATGGAACTCAAAAAGTCCTGCCTGAGACACTTACTAGATATGTGACTCAAGCAAGTCACTTAACCTTTCTTAACCTCAGTTTTCCCATACATGAAATTTCAGTCGTTTTTTTCTTCATAACCCTATTTGGGGTTTTCTTGGCAGAGATACTAAAGTGGTTTGCCGTTTCCTTCTCCAGCTCATTTCACAAGTGAGGAACGGAGGCAAGCAGGGTGAAGTGACTTGCCCAGGGTCACAAAGGTAGTAAGTGTCTGAGGCAAGATTTGAACTCAGGAAGATGAGTCTTTCTGACTCCAGACTGCGCTTTATTCACCATGGTGTCACCTAGCCACGCTATCCATGAAATGGAAATATTAATATCCCCTACCTCCCAGGGATGTTGTGAGAATCAAACAAGATAACATATGTGTGGCACTTGGCCAGCCTTAAAGTTCTACACACGAAAGACACAATGGTATCGGTCATCTCTGGGCCCCCGTGCCTGGCATGGTGCTTTCCATGTCTCTTTCAAAGTCTATTGAACTTGAGTGGGGAAAGAGCTATGAAATGCTAGCTGTTGTGTTATTGTTATTGTTGTTATCCTGTGGGCAAATTTGTAGAAACAAACCCACTGCAAGCAACTGCTTCCCCTCCGCATCCCCCTCCGCCATGCCTGTCCTCTCCTGCCATTCTGAGCTGGGCCTCACTTTAATGAAGAGATGGGTTTGTGAGAAGCTGTGTGGAAAATGAATTGCTTTTAATTAAATGATTTCCCCATTAATTCATTAAAATTGTCCCAAGGTCCCTTAGTGACGGGAGGCAAGATTATTTTCTCCTTTAAAAGAAACATTGATTAGTATGTGCCAGGCACTGGAGAAACAAAAAAAAAAGGCAAAAAACAATCCCTGCCCTCAAGGAGCTTACATGCTAATGGAAGAGACAACATGTACACACAAGATACATACAAGTAGGGGAAGCTAGGTGGTACAATGGATAGAGCACCAGCCCTGGAGTAGGGAAGACCAGGAGTTCAAATTCAACCTCAGATACGTATTAGCTGTGTGACCTTGGGCAAGTCACTTCACCCTGTTTGTCTCAGTTTCCTCATCTGTAAGAAGAACTGGAGAAAAAAAACAGCAAACCACTGCAGGATCTTTGCCAAGAAAACCCCAAATGAGGTCATGAAGAGTCAGACGTGACTGAAAAACCACTGAACAACAACAGAAGGAAGTTAACCTTGGAGGGGAAGACACTAGCAGCTGGGACACCAGGAAAGGCTTCCTGTAGGAGGTGGCCCGAAAAACAACTTTAAGTAGGAAGCTAGTCATTTAGAAAATGTTTAAGTTTAGAAAATCCCTTGATCAGGCAGCAAGTATTTCTTAAGCACCTACCATGTGACGAGCATTGGCGATAACAAAAATAATCATGAAATAGACCCTACCCCTGAGGAGCTTGGTAAAGAGAGACAACATGGACATAAGTAGACATATATGAAAAGAATTCAAGGTGATTTGGAGAGGAAGGCATACCTATTTGAGGGGACTGGGAAAAATCTCACATAGAAGATGATGTTTCTGAAGGGATGACTTGGTCAGATCTCTGTTTTAGGAAACATTGGCTTGGCAGTCAATTAATAAACATTTATTCAGCACCTACTATGTGCCAGGCACAGTTCTAAGCTCTAAAAATATAAAAAGAAGCAAAAGACTATCCCTGCCCTCAAGGAGCTTACAGTCCAATTGTAAGCTGATTCTTAATAGAAAGTAGGTTGATTGTGATCTCTCTGTCTCTGTCTTTCTGTGCCGTCTTCCTTCTGTCTGTCTGTTCTTTGCCTGCCTCTCCATTCTACTCGCTCTGATTACACCATCTGTCCTGGCTGCCTGGCCTGCCTAGTTCCTATCAGTCAGACTGTGCTCTTGCTATCTGTCTCTGCTCCGCTGGTCAGTCTATGCCCTGTCTGCCTGCCTGTCTGTCTATGCCATGCCTCTATGTCTGAGTTTTGCCTGCTTATCTATGCCTTGTTGGTAAGGTTGTAATCTGTCTGCCTGTCCCTAAGAACCCTGGTTCTGCGTCTCCCTACCCTCCCCCCAACCCCTACCCAAGAAAGTGCCTGAGGTCAGAGGCCAGAAGGCATCCCTTTTCTCTGGCCCTCCTCCAGACTCCACATAGGTAGATGGGCTACAGGAGCTCCAGGGCAGTTAGCCCATTTCTGCGGCAGTCCCAATCTTTGAGGGCAGGACCCTGCTTCTATGTAGAAGGTTCCGTCATACAGCTCCCAGCCCAGTCAGTTGCTCTTCTCCCATCATTAGTCCCCAGATTCTCCTCCCTGGCCAGGGAAGGTGAGCTAAGGAGACCTCAGAGAGGCCTGTGGCAGCTCCATCTCTCAGGAGATGCAGAGACCCTGGCTGAGGCCACTGGGAGGTGTAAAAGATTTGTTCTCATTCAGAATAACCTGGTGGGCCGTTGCTGATGCTGATATGTAACCATGGCAACCAGTAGCCTTCATCTCCCTTCCTGGCGGGGATGGGAAAAGGAGGCTAGAAGCAGCCAGCTGATGGGACAGGATGCAGCTCAGTGAGGGCTCAGCAGATCTGGGCTGTCAGTAACCACAATGTGGGGGCGGGAGGGGCCAAAGGGACCTTAAGAAGCAGGGAGAGGCCAGGACAGCCAGCCAGGAGACATGTCCTAGGCACATCTGGCTGGCTGGAATGCCATCTAATGCACCCCATACCCCAATAAGAATGCCCTCAATAACATGCCCAACAAAGAGTCATTGAGTCAGTCAGCAACCATTTATGAAACACCTGCTAGGTGTCAGCAGCTCTGCTAAGTGCTGGGAATAAAAAGAAAAACAAAAACACTGTGAGTTGTAGAGAAACTGCTAATTTATATCCAGAGAGAACCCTTCCAAGAGCTCCCTGTGCTGATTCACTGATGAAATCACAGGTCCAATCAAAAAAATTCATTATATTAGCTTCCTTGTTTGCTACAGCATACTATTGGTTTACTTTGAGCTTGCAGTCCACTAAAACCCTCAGATCCTTTTCTAACCATGTCACTCCCATCTCATATATGTGAAGTTGATTTATGAACTAAAGCATAAGAATATAGCAGAGCATATCTGGCCTCAAGGCTGAGGGAAGGTCTGGAGTGCACTTCCCCGCCCCCTTTAAATTCAGCCCTGGCATGTCTGTTTCAGGAAGAACGCGGTGGAGATGGAATTGGCCAAGTGTAAGATGGACATGATGTCCCTCAACAACCAGCTCCTGGATGCCATTCAGCAGAAACTGAACCTCTCCCAACAGCTTGAGGCCTGGCAGGTAAAGGGGAGGGCTGGGGATGAGGCTGGCCATTTGTGTGGGGTCTGCAAAGTAGCCTTAGCCCTCAGAAACTGAGATGCATATGGGATTTTGAATGGTGATGTCAGCAACCTGGAAGGATCCTAAGAAGGCCCCAGAGAGGAGACCAAGGCTGCCTGATGCTCATAGGTCTGCTATCTGTGCAGACTGGTGTTAGAGCATCTTTCAGCTCTTCCTCTGGTTCACAGAATCTCAGGGTTGGAAGGGACCTCAGAGGTCTCTAGCCCCACCCATATCTGAACAAGCGGGCCCCCTACTGAACTAGTGGTCATCCACCTTCTGCTTAAAAACCTTCATTGAAGGGGTCATGGTAAGGAAGACAAGGAAGATGAAAAGAACAGTGATGTCACACCTAACACTGGCACTTCAAAGGTGACTAAAGCTTTCCTCACAGCAACCTCAAGAAGCAGACAGTCCAAGTGGCAATGTCCCCATTATACAGCTAAGGAGACTGAGGCCTCAAAAATGTAAGTGGCTTAAAGAGTCTATAGCCACAGATTCAAACCAAATAGAAAGAAAAAGCTATCCCTACCATGGAGGAACAGAAAAGTCTGAATGAAATTTGACTTAAATATAGCTGACAATAGCTCACTGACCCTTTTCCAAAAAAGGCTGACTTCCCCTTTCCTAGCTAAGTTTGGAAACTAGCTTCACCAGATTCACAGAATGTCAGATAGATAGATAGAAAAATAGATGGATGGGTGGGTGGATGGATAGAAGGATAGGTAGAAAGAAAAAAGGATAGATACAAAGAAAGAAAGATATATTTGGAGACAGATAAATAGATGCATGATAGATAGAAAAATGATGGGTAAATGGATAGAAGGATAGAGAAAGAGATAGATATGGAGATAGAGATGGATAGATAGATATAGAGGTAGATATGGAGAGAGAGAAAGAGATGGAGATAGATAGATAGATAGATAGATAGATAGATAGATAGATAGATAGATAGATAGATAGATAGATAGATATGGAGGTAGAGAGAGAGAGCATTTTAGTAAATACTTACTTTGCTAAGCACTGAGGATATAAATAGAAGCAATCAAGATAGTTGTTACCTCAAGGAATTTACAGTCTAATGGGGGAAGAAGGGACCTCAGGGTCATTCAGTCCACTCTGTACATGAATAGGAATCCCCTATACAGCATGCCCAACAGGAGAGCATCCAGCCTTTGCTTAAAGCTCCCAGTGAGGGGGAGCCCACTGCCTTCAGGAGCTGCCCCTTTGCAGCCAGCCGGAGTGGACTGGTCCCTGAACCAGGTTGGTCCTTGAAGTCTCCATCTTCTAGACCCACCTTTTCCCCATCTGAGATCCAAAGACCAGCATTTTCCCAGCCAAGCTAAGCCCCTTACATGCTTCTAAGTCATCGTGGCTCCATACTGAACCAAGCCCATCCCTGGATTTTGTTAACATCGGCAAGACACAATTTCAGGATGTGGGTGGAATCATAAACATTTCTTCCCAAGCCATTCTTGGTGGAAGAAATAACTAACCTGAAAAGCCTGCTCCCCCTTGGAGGAGAAGCTTGAAATAATTGGTTCTCTAGTGAACTTGGACTAGAGATTCCCAATCCACTGTGTACGGACCCAGGGACCTTTTGCTTTGGCTAAAGTAGTGGCAAGAATATAAGAATAATATGAACAATATTAATGAGCATTTCTATTGAGGTTTAAAGTTTACAAAGTGCTTTATAGACATCATCTCATTTGATCTAGATGATAACCCTGAGAAAGGTGCTATAATCCCCATTTTAGAAATGGAGAAACTGAGACCCAGAGAGGGTAAGTGATTTACCCAGGATCACACAGCCCATAAGGATTCAAACTCAGGCCTTCCTCATTCCAAAGCCAGCAGCAATCTTCAGTACACCATGCTGCCTACCAAGAGCTGCCCCCAATGCTGGCAGGCTTGGCAGTTTGCAAGATGAACCCCACCTCTGGTCAGGAGGGCCAGAGCCCTTCTTTCCCCTGTCTCAATTCTGCTGTGTTTTCCTTTTTCTTTTTCTCTTCTCCTTACAGTTTGCTTCCTCAGGGCTTTTTACTATCTGGCTCCTTTGGTTTCTGATCTAGTGGCCTTTCTCAGTTCCCGTATCGACAGCTTTAGTAGTACACCCCTCCTGCCTTTGAGGTGAGACCATGCTCTCCATCTCTGCCCAGTGACCTACCCACTCATCACATCAGTCTTCCTATGTTGGTCCCACATCTGAGGAACGGCCCAGCCCTGCACCCTTTTCTGTCTTTCCACCTTGTCCATCCATTCTATGTGCCATGCCATGAACTCATCTTTGTGTGAAGTACCATCCCCAACCCCAGACATCCTCCTCATTTTCATCATCAATGTCAACAGAACTGTAACCAAGGTGGGGCAAATGGGTCTTGTCCCTAGGATGCCAAAATTTAGAGGATGTTAATAACACTTACAGTCTTTCAATTCTTGTAATATTTCTAGGAGTTTTGCACCTACTTATCAAGAATAATTAGTTAATATAGGAAGCAACCAGATGGTGTATTTTCTGGTTATCAAATGCTAGGTGAGCTCCAAAGTGTGCCAGCTGGCCCGCACATCCCCATTGCTCTGCTCCAGCCTCCCCAACTGCATTTGAGAACATTCTTCAAACCACTTACAATCATCATGAAAATTGCTGGTTATAACCCTTTTCATTCATTCATTAATTCATTCTACAAATTAAGTGCCAGCTACATGCCTGATACTGTCCAAGGTACTAGTGATACAAAGACAAAAAAAATGGTCTTTGCCCTCAAGGAGTGATGACATTAAATACAACTAATATTGATAACAACGAATATAGAAGGTTTACCCGACTGGTAAGTACACAGCATCGTACTTGGCTCTGTCTGTGCCGACATTAGTTTCCCAGGTTCGAGGTTCATGTAAGTGGATTGTTCAACTGCGGGTATTCAAACCATGATGATGGTGGCAGCATGAAAGCGTGTGATCAATCAGTTCTATAAATATAGTTCATGGAGTTGGGAAGTAAGTCAACTCATAATGTTTATTTCTTTTCTTTTTTTAGTCATAATGTTTATTTCGTAGGGTGTGAACATGAAATTGAATGATAAAGACCACCCGCCAGAGAGGAGACATAACACGATAGGCAGCATTTCTAGCACGATTTCATGTTTGCAAAGTACTTGATAACACTGTTATCTTCCCTGACCCCCGTTTAGGTGCCACCTGTAAGAAGCCTTCTCTGATGACTACACACACACACACACACACACACACACACACACTCCCCTCTGGCTTCTCAAATTATCTTGTATTTTACTTATCTGTGTATGTGTTGTATCTACTGCTGCCACTACCGCCAAAGCAATGATGAATCAGCAAGCGTTTATTAAGCATCCCCTGTGTGCTCTGTTGGGCTCTGGGAAAACACAGGCAAAAACAAAACAGCCCCTGCCCTGGAGGAATTTTCATTCTTCAGAGGAGGAAACTGAAGCACAGAGAGGAGGAAATGACTTGGTCCCACAGGTGGTAAATAGCAGGGCCTGCTGAATTTGAGCTTGAAGCCCCTGACCATAAATCCAGCAGTTTTTCCATTGTTCATCAATCCACAAACATTTATTACGTGCCTACTATGTACCAGGCTAAGTGCCAAAGATACAAAGACCAGAGTGAGACAGTTCCTGCCCTCAAGGAGCTTACATTTTACAAGCTGCTCAAACTCAAGAACTGTTTCCTTTTTGTCTTTGTATCTCTAGGGCCTAGCATGGGGCCAGGTATACAGTAGGTACTCGATAAATGTTTGCACATTTTAAAGTCCACTACACTTATTTGGCATGGATGTGACTGGAGTCAAGACAGATTGTGGAGGACCAACTGAAAAGTTGCTAGAATTAATGGAAAATTTTAGAAATCTTAAAATTCTGTTGTATTTACCTTGGTAAGCACCAGCCAGTAAGCCAGGAGCCTCTCTTTTTCCAGGGTGTGTTCCCATCTAGTCTCCTTTAGGACTGACCCTGGATCTAAGCCTTTGCTGGAGCCTGGACCATGAGACAGGATCAGAGGCACAGTCAGTATATGGGGGAGTGAGTCTTTAACCAAAAAAATCACCTCCCTCCAATGTATGGTCACAGAAAGTACAGGATAGACTCTAATCAGTCAGTCAACAAGCAATTATTAAGTACCTGCTATGTGCCAGGCACTGTACTAAGGGCTAGGGATACAAAGAAAGGCAAAAACACCATAGGCCCTGCCCTCAAAGACCTTAAACTAAATCCTCTTGGACTGTTTGATCTGAAGGTCACCAAGGGCCTAGTCAATGAATGCTTGTCAACTCTACTGTCCCCTTCCAATCCAATAAAGGCAAATGAGTCCATATTTTGTAAAGGGATCAAGAAGCATGGCCTCATCCTTACTTAGTTAAGTCTTATTATGGGCATTCGCTTCTGTGATGAGATCCCAGGTTGGGGAGGGTAGGTTTGGTCTGAGGCCAACTGCCCTCCACGAGTCAGAGCAGCTAGCACAAATGCAGTGGATGCAGACACACTAAGGGGAACATAGGCCGCTCCCCACCCTATGCTCCAGGGTCCCAAGACTACTGCTGTCCTCATTCAATTCAATACATTCTACTTGGAGAGGGCAGAGCGATTACTAACTACATGTACACAGTTATGTAAAAGACAAGATTATTGCAGGAACCTGAGAGCCAGAGGAATAATCAGGGAAGGCTTCCTGGAGTCAACTTAAGCCTCTAAAGAAGATCCACAATCAATCAACAAACATCTATTAAGTAAACCTACTATGTGCCAGACACTGTGCTAAGTGCTAGGGATATAAAGAGAAAAAAGAAACAGTCCCTGCCTGTCTTTCAAGAGCTTACATGCTTCTATGAAGGGAAGAGGAAGATGAGGATTCTGAAAGGCAGAGCTAAAGGGAGAGTGCGGTCCAGGAATGGAAACAACCTTCCTGAATGTTGGAAATGGAATGTGAAA